GCTGAACTTTAATATTAGAGAGCAATGGATTGGAGTATGAGCTGAAATGGAGACAAAATGAATGTGAAAATAGCTTCATTTATTCTATGCAGCTAATCTTATCCATCCATTGAATATAAACATTAAAAATAGATGTCATAATAATTTTATTAATAAAAATAAATACAGAGCTTCCAAAACCATTGTGCTTCCAGAGGGAAATTTGAAAATTTGCATTCCCACAATATTTCTCAGATCTAAAGTTGAAGAGATATGGAGGCTGTTCAGCATGAGTTGCTTTTATGCCTTCAGTTCTTCATAATCAGGGTTATTTTTGCCCTTCTTCCAAATTTAAGTCATGATTTTAGAGATTTTTCTCAATTATTTTAATAAGCTATAAGGGAAAAATATATCATTTTCATTTTGGATATGTGTGATTTCATTACTGTTCATCATACAATTTAGTGAACGAAAAGCTTAAGTACTCTTACATTATAGCCTGTCATTTATTTTGTACTTTTGGAAAAAAAGAATTTCTGTACCCTGTTAAGAGATAAGCTGCCTTGGTTCACAAAGTCCTATAGTACTGTGATGCTGCAGTACTATTGAAGGCAGTCTGGCCTTATGTCCTTAGATGGTGCCCTATTCCTGCCCACCTTGCCCCATTTCTAGAGAATACAAAGGATTCCATCACTGCCTCATAGAGAAATGATTTTGGCAAGTGGCAAACACGGCCTTGTTAGTTGATATGATACACTATATTGCCCACCCCTTTATGATAGCAGTTGTAGGTGACAAGTTTTGGATGCTACTTTTAACATAGCAGAACTTCTGTCTTGGACATGTAAGTCTGTGAATGTGTGTTCCTTTTTAAGTCTGCGGTTTTTGACATAATTATTTCAAAAGTGTAGTCAGTTCAGAATTACCCTTGAGCAGGTTATCACATTGCGATTGGCCCAATATTGCTTTCAAATTGTAATTGACATTTCCAAATACTCAGAGTGTCAAGTATGTTGTTGACATAAACAGAACCTTTGCTTACCACCTAACTAGATCTAAAAGAAAACACTCCCTTTAACCTTGCATGATATTGATTTGAACCAGAAAGTTTGTATTTTCCTACCTTGTGTTAGGGACCAACAAGAAAGTTTCACATAGAAACCGGAAGCAATAAGGCAAAAAATAGAGTTAATACTTTGTAGGAAATATTCCGATTTTTTTCTTTGACACAATATGGATATACATCCAAGCCAAATTACAAAACCAAAGAGGATATTTATCTTAATTGACTGCCACTGTTAGCTGTTTGTGAAATTTTTACATTGCTAAGATGACATTGCTCTCCAAGTTGATCTATAGATTCAATGTGGCTCTATAAAAACTCATTGGTTTTTTATTGTAGAAATTGACAAGCTACTTATAAAATTAATATAAAAATATAAGAGTCTCAGAATAATGAAGTAATATTGAAAAAAGAACAATGAATTTGGAGGACTTACACATCCTGATTTCAAAACTTACTACAAAACTACAATAATCAAAATTGTGTAGGTTTGGATCAATAGAATGCAGGTGAGAGTCCAGAAATAATGCTTTCGTTGTTAGTCATTTGATGTTGTTATGCAGATGTTGAGAGAATAAATTTTTGGATATGAGTGATTTTGTGACTCTTCATCACGCAATTTAATGAAGGAAAAGCTTCACTAAATGGGGAAAAATAATTTTTTTCAACAAATGATACTGGCACAACTGATTGATGTTGGCACATGCAAATATTGAGTTTGAAACCCTACTTTATAGCATACCTAGAAATTAACTCAAAATGCTAATAGGCCTAAAACTAATAGCTAACATTATAAAACTCTTAGAAGATAATAGGAATAAATCCATGTGACTCTGTATTAGGCACTGTCTTAGATATGACCCCAAAAACACAATTAACAAAAGAAAAAGTAAATAAATTGGACTTAAAATTAAAAACTTTTGTGCTTTTAAAGGACCCATCAGTAAAGTGCAAAGAAGACAAATAGACATTTCTTCAGTAGAGGTACACAAATGGCCAATCACATGAAAAGAAGTTCCACATCATCAGCCATTAAAGAAATGCAAATCAGAATCACAGTAGGATGCCATTTCACACCCACTAAGATGGCTAAAATTTTTAAAAAAGGAAAATAACAAGTGTTGTCAAAGATGTAGAGAAACTGGAACCTAATATATTTCTTTTTTTTAAAAGAGAGAGAGATAGAGAGACAGAGAGAGAATTTTTTAATATTTATTTTTTAGTTTTCGGCGGACACAACATCTTTGTTTGTATGTGGTGCTGAGGATCAAACCCGGGGCACACGAATGCCAGGCGAGCGYGCTACTGCTTGAGCCACATCCTCAGCCCACCTAATATATTTCTAATAGAAATTTCACCTTATGTGAATACCTGAAAATAGTGTAGCCATTCCTCAAACATTAAACATAAAGTTACTGCATAACCAACAATTTCACTCCTTGTAATTGAAACCATTTTCATACAAGAACTCATATGCAAATAATCACAGTAATATTTTCACACTAGGCAAAAGTGAGAACACTACAATTGTGGTTGATGAATGGAAAAACCAAATTTCTAAGATGGAATCCTGTTTGGTTATAAAGTGGCATGAAATGCTGACATATGCTACAACATGGATGACTTAGCAAATATTCTAATTAAAAAATCATGTTTCTGTTTATATGAAATATCAGAAATAGACATATCCTTAGAGTCATAAAGCAGATTAACGATTGGCAGTGAATATCAGGGGAGGGGAGAATGAAGAGTAACTGCTAATGGGTATGGGGTTTCTTTCGGGAGTGATTAAAATATTTTAACCTTAGTGTTGATGGTTGCAGAATTGAATATACTGAAACACCAAATTGTATCTTTTAAAATGGGGAACCTAATGTTATGTGAATTGTATCTCAATAAATCTGCAGTAATTAAAAAAAAGTGGATCCTAAGGCCCCTATCAGGGTTTATAGATAATTGTAGCTGCAGCCCCACAGACAGGATATCCTGAGTTCAAACTTGTGAGAGATCTTGCTCCAGAACTGCCCAGCTAAGCCACTTTAAAGTGACTCACAGAAACTATGACAAACAATAAATGTTTACTTTCTAATCCATTAAGTTTGGGGATAATTTATTACAGAGCACTAGAAAATGAATACATTGAGTTCTGTATTATGTGTTTGATGTACAGAGAACCAGACCCAATTTACTCCTGTGTGAGACAGACAGATAAAGTTAACAACTTGGGCAAATATGAGGTCCTCAAATATCCTGACATGTTTGATAGTCACAGATTCAAGTAGTTTGTTTAATTTTATGTTTGAACAATCTGAATATTTTAATAACCTGGTCAATTGTGTCTCCTTTTCTCTGTAAGAATTTATCAAGCTCTTCGTATTATTATGAACATTTGGAAGCTTTCAAAGACATTCATCTTTTAAGATTTAGAACCATAAACTATGAACCATTCTTTAAATTTTTTTTAAATTTTCTTTCCTTTCTTTAATCCTTTGGAGGGAAGAAAAATAATTTTTTTGAAAACCTAGTATAGGAATTTTTCACAGAAATGTTTTTACGTGAAATGTTGCTACCAGTCTAAAAAAGAAAGACATTTTTTAAATCTGTTTACTACTACATCAAAGTGCTCTAGTTGAAACTGCACCTTATTTTCTTCAAGATATTAACCTAGGGCTGGGGTTGTGGCTCAGTAGTAGAGTGCTTGCCTGGCACATGTGAGGCACTGGATTCAATTCTCAGCACCATATATAAATAAATAAACAAAAATAAATGTACATTGACAACTTAAAAAAAATTTTTTTAAAAAGATATTAACCTAAATTGCTTATATCCAACCTCTTAAGCTCATACATTCTCTGACATGTTTTGTTGGAATTATACATCCATAACCATAAAAGCCATCTTTTAGGTGTGAGATTTTGACATGGATCTTTCTCCATGTGTTTTGTCATTTCAGTGAAAATAGAGACTAAATCTAACATTAGACTCTCCCTTTAAAGAGAATGATGGTTAAAGAGCAGCTCTAGGAGCCTACCAAAGAACTAATGTCTTTCATTAAAAAGAATTGACCTCAGGCATGCCTTCTAGAATCTGACCTCCACTTCTTGTGGTAGCATCAGATGCAGGTTTGCCCCTTTTCCTAGGGTGCAAAGTGACTCCATCCTGGTGTCCCTTCCTGATCTGAAATGATTTCTGAAATGCTCAAATGGCCCATCTTCTTGCCTCTCGGTAATGGAAGTGTTTGTCACTTAGAAATTAAGTGGTCAGTTTAGTTTCTCTCTGGTACAGGTCATCCTCAAAATCCACCCCATGACAAAAACTCCAGATTTCTTTTTAATATTTCTTAGTTGTAGATGGACACAATAACTTTATTTTATTATTTATTTTTATGTGGTGTTGAGGATCAAACCCAGCGCCTCACACACACGCAAGGCAAGAGCTCTACCACTGAGCCACAACCAGCCCTCCAGATTTCTTTTTTCCTGCCATGTTCCCACACACTTTTGAGAACAGTGACTTTTCCAAGTGGCCTTTTCTCAGGAATTCAKTTTCTTTACATGTTAGTGTTGTAAGGAGGTGTAAGCAAAGCACAGCACTTTATAACTCATCTCTCTCCACCTGTCACTGGAGCTTTCCCTTCGGTACTCCTTTCCCATGCTGGTTTCAAGCATAATTCCAAGAGACATAGTTGAGTAGCAGGAAGCTAAATGATATATTCCAGAGCTCTTAACATATTGCTTCATGTGAATGGGCCATTTGAGCATTTCAGAAATCAAGTGAGAAAGAAAAGCACATTGAAAGCACTGAAAAGATTAACACCTGTTTCCAGTCTTCAAAGAAATTGGAATATACTGTCTATATTCAGAGTAAAACATTTTACTCTCCCATGTCTATACATTTTAATCAGATACTCAGTCTATATGTGCAACATCCACATGCTTATGGGTTTGTTTCACTACAGGATTCCACGCAGAACTTAGAAGACAGAGAAGTTATGAATGGTGTGCAGACAGAACTACTAACATCGCCAAAAATTAAGGGTGCACTGAGGTATTTTCTTTATGCAAATAAGAATGTTTTTATTTATTTAAATTTGATGTTGGTTTCTTTAACAATTTTTAATTGTTCTTATTTTACAGGAAAGATCAAGATTAGTAAAATTGTGGGGTAAAGCATGTCCCAGTTCTAAAATAATTCAATTATTCCTTTTTACCCATTTTCTACATAAGGTATGAGGTTTTACTGATAGACATATATGAATGATCCTCAATCCTTCCAATAATCTTCTGCAACCAGAATTTCTTAATTATTTCTCCTTCTTTTGCACAGCAGTTTAAATGAGCACTTGAGACTTCATTGTGGTTGAATGTTTTTTTTATTGTGTTTGAACAATCTTGCAATATTTTACTTGACATATATAAAATGAATCCAGTCCATCCACTAGAAATTTTTCGTGTTGTTAATGAATGAATGTGACTCATTATGTGAAGTTAGTTTCACCGTGTTTACCAGAACTTCTTTTTCTTTGTTCTGATTTTCAATACTATAGCCTCAGGTATTCCCTAGATTCAAATCCCAGACTAGCTGCTGACTAGTTCCACAAGCGAAGGTAACTTACTCATCTTTTTTGCCTTGCTTTCTGGTCTGTAAAATGGAGTTATTATTTAAACCTTCAGAGGGTAGGTATGCAGATTTATTATATTCTTAGATGTAAATTTTACATCTACTAAGTCAACACATGTAAAGTGCTTTCAACAGAACTCTGGTCCAATTGAGTGGTGTGAATATTTGTTGCTGTTGCTATAACTATTCTTGTAACAATTATCTCTGTTACAGGTTAATATYTCTTATCCAAGATGCTTGGGACCAAAAGTGCCTCAGAATTTAGAGGGTTTTTTTTTYATATTTTGGAATATTTACATAGACTTTACTAGCCGAGTACTTCTAATCAAAAATCTGAAATACAGTGTGCTCCAAAATCCAAACTCCTTTGAGCATGATATCAGCATGCAAGAAGTTTCAAATTTCAGATTTCTGAATGAGAGGTATTCAGCCCATATTATTGTTATTACCATCAAGATCATTTTCCCTAAAGTTACTTCAAATTTGGCATAAAGAAGGTAATTTCATATTTAATAGATGGTTGATTTTAGCATTAGAAGGTAATGCTGCTGAAATAGATGGTCATTCATTAATTCAGTCAATGTATTCTTTTCATTAAATTCAGTAACTAATAAGTGCTGATTTGCATGAAATTAGCTTCTTAAAAAAATGGTGAGCATCCTTTATTACAATGCTTTACTGTGAGGATCCTCATCAAACTTATAATTTATGGCCACATGACCATAATTACTCTTTATTTAGATTGTTTCTTTGATTAATGAGTTCTATGATATTAAAATCTGGGTACAGAATTTCTCCATCTTTTTATAATTTTGATAAGATTGTTTTATAGAGGTAGTGAATGAATGTCATACTTGTCATACCCTTATTCTATTTGGCTTTCTTCATTTTTATTTATTTATTTATTTATTTATCTATTTATCTATCCATCACTTATTTATTTATATATGAAGTGCTCCGCTAACAGGGGAAAGTTTGGAGGTGACAATTCTCCCAGAGAATATTGGCTCTAGCTGGTATGCGATGATGAAAAACTGTAAAAGTGAAATAGGAAGCCCCTTACAGCTGAGTTCAGGGTCCCTATGCAGCTGGGGCAGGGAGGCACAGAAGACCCACAGAGCTTAGCCCAGCATAGGACTTTGGGCCTACTTTCATACCAGACACATGGCAAGTAAATGGTTTGCAGAATGAATTTGAAATATGTTGAACYGACCTCATCCCATGGTCACTGCTCAAGTCGTTACTACCTCTCAGCTAAGTGATGGCAATGACCTCCTAACTCCTCCCTCAGTTGGATCAGCATATTACTACTGGATAATGTGTTCTAGATCATAGCATTTTTCAAACCATTCCTTAGCTCTAAAGCCTTTAGATTTAGAGAAGAACTGCTTTTGAGCACTGGCTCTACTACTTATTACTTTTACAATATTGGAATAATTACTTAACCTCTTTAAAATGTTTTCTTCTTATGAAAAAYATGTATCATGATTGCATAGATTTTTATGAAGATTAAGTAAGGCATATACAGGCAACTGACTTGGTACAATGCTAAACAAAAGATGAGATAAACATGAATTGCTATTATAATGATTATCATCAGTATTACACATATTACAGTTTATTGTAAATATTTGTTCTCCCAAACAAGACTACACATCCTCCAAAGGATTTCTGACACCTAATACAGGTTTTGGAATACAATGGGGGAATATTTATTAAGTGAAAGACTTGRATGGGTACAAAAAAATTGTTCCATAAATCATAATTACAACTGTAAACTCATCCATTATTGACAAAAACATCCTTATTCAATAAAGAACAATAACATTTAAAGGGAGTGCTCCAAAGAATCTTTTAATATACATGACCTATGAATCATTGCTGAATTTATTTTAAGAAGACAGTGAAACAAGTAATTTCTCTTTGGTACTTTTTCTACAACTTATACTTGGAGTTTCTCTTTGAATACCAAGCAATATGTGGGAAAGACTSTCCCTCATTCCCGTGTCATTCCTGACTCCACCTCATTCCCTAATCCCTATTGACCCAAGTTAGCCTCCTCCAGRACTCCCTTATCTTTTCGTTTTCTAGCTGATCCCATATTTAACTTCCACAGAGATATTTCTAATCCATGACATTTATTGCACTATTCTTTAGTTCCAAAACCTTTAGTGACACAATTTTCTATAAAGTTAAGTATGAATGTTCCAGCATGGGATTTGACATACTATTTGATCTTAAGCTAATGTTTCAATCTGAACTTCTCTCTCTCTCTCTCTCTCTCTCTCTTCTNCTTCTCTCTCTCTCTCTCTCTCTCTCTCTCTCTCTCTCTCTCTCTCTCTCTCTCTCTCTCTTCTTCCTCCCCTTCTTCCCCTTCTTCTCTATTATCATAGCCTATCTGTATGCCCACAAAGGATCCTGGTTCAGTACCTCAGTGCACAGGGCTTTCTCTCCTGTGTGTGCCATCTCCATCCCCTCACCTGCATTTTCTGATGGAAAACCCATTTGCCCATCAGGGGCCCTTCTCAAATRCTACCTCCTTCAGGAAAAGCTTCCTGATCCTAGCTTCCCTTCCTGATCTTGTGCCCTCTTCCTCTTCCTCTGAATCACATCAGAAGCTACCTCAGCTTTGAAAACAGCATGTCAAAGTGACTAAGGACTTTTTCTCTGGAGTGCAAAAGATCCAGTTTCAGTCCTGACTCTATTTTTTTTTACATGAATGATATGATGCTGGACAAATTCATAACCTCTCTAAGAAGAGTTTACTTCTAACATAGAAGTGATATAAACTATTTGTTTATACATTTTGTAGAAATGCATGTTTTAATACCCAGAAGCCAATTGGCACACTGCTTCCCAAATAATATCTTGGATTTTTTTTTTTTTTTTTTGGTTACGGGGATTGAATTCAGGGAACTTGACCACTGAGCCACATCCCCAGCTCTATTTTGTATTTTATTTAGAGACAGGGTCTCACCTACTATTGCTACTACTATAGGTTGATCACCCACAATCTGGAAATCTGAAATGCTCCAAAATTTGCAACTCTTTGAATGTCATGATGATGCCACAAGTATAAAATTCCACACCATGATATTTTATATCATGAACAAAATTATTTAAAATACTGCATAAAATTACCTCTAGGTTATGTCTATAAGGTATAGATAAAATATAATTGAATTTTGTATTTTTACTTGAGTCCTGTACCCAAGATATTATGTTTGTGTGTGTATACATACACACACAGAAGGTATTGTAATATATGTTTGTGTGTGTATACACACACACAGAGAATATATATATATTCTGAAATATATATATATATCAATCCAAAATCTGAAACACTTCTGGTCCCAAGCTTTTCAGATAAGGAACCTTCAACCTGTGCTATTATTCTATTGCCCTGTATTTTTATCTGTCTCAAACCTCCCCCACAAGAACATGAACTCCTCAAGCCACTGTTGTGTTTGTTCTGTTTTGCTTTTTTCTTTATAGAGCATCCCCACTGAAATGACTGAATTTATGTTTATTGAATTCAAGTGAATTTAGTGACTCCTACCACCAACCACCACAAATTCTTCTTTAGATTTTTACTCAGTACATTCACATCAGTAAGACATTTATTTCACCATCAAGCAGAGTTCAGGGCAATCTGCAAAGTCTTCTTGAAGGTTTTCCTGTGTGTCAGTCTCTCATTCCATTGTGTGTGACAGATCTGCAAATCTGCCTGAAGTCAGCGACACCTTCTGTCCACTTGTTACAACCCTTTTTCTTCTCTCTCCTTGTCAGCAATCTAATTGTGAAGAAAAGGTGTTCCTCAGTCCCATACTATTTAATATTATTTCAAAAGCTTTCCTGAAGAAAACTGGGGGAGGGGAGGGAAAATTTATGATAGCTTATTCCCTTCTAATCCTCAAKCTTATTTGTTCCCTTGGAAAATTCTAGTAATAATACTAATAGCTGATAGTTTCTGAACTTCTTGTATATGCCAGATAGATATATCTGTGTAATGTATATATGCTGTGTTCTCCATTTTTCTCATTAAAAACAGCAACTCTTTTATTGCTGAGTAATATTCCATTGTGTATATATGTACCCCATCATCTATTGAAAGGCATCTAGGTTGGTTCCACAGTTGAGCTTTTGTGAATTGTGCTACAATAAACATTGATGTAGCTGTGTCCCTKAAGTATGATGTTTTTAAGTCCTTTGGGTATAAACTGGGTCAAAAGATGGTTCCACTCCCAGTTTTCCAAGGAATCTCCATACTACTTTCCTGATTGGCCACACCATTTTACCCCACATCCTTGACAAGACTTACTGTTGTTTGTATTCTTAATAGCTGCCATTCTGACTGGAGTGAGATGAAATCTTAATTTTGATTTGCATTTCTCTAATTGCTAGACGTGTTGAACATTTTTTCATATATTTGTTGATTGATTATATRTCACCTTCTGAGAAGTGTCTGTGCATTTCTTGGCCCATTTATTGATTGTGTTACTTGTTTTTTTTTGTTGTTGTTGTTTAGCTTTTTGAGTTCTTTATATACCCTAGAGATTAGTGCTTTATCTGATGTGCAAGTGGTAAAAATTTTCTCCCAAGCTATAGGCTCTCTATTTACCTCACTGATTGTTTCTTTTGCACACACACACACACACACACACACACACACACACACAATGGAATATTACTCAGTAATAAAAGAGAATAAAATTATGGCATTTCCAGGTAAATGGATGGAGTTGGAAAATATAATGCTAAGTAAAATTATCCAATCACCAAAAAAAACAAATGCCAAATGTTTTCTTCCATATAAAGAGGCTGATTCATAGTGGGGTTGGGAGGGGACGTATGGGAAGATTAGACAAACTCTAGATAGGGCAAAAGGGGAAGCAGTGGAAGGGAGGGGGCAAGTGATATAAAAGAAAGTGGAATGAGATGGACATTATTACCCTAAGTACATGTATGAAGACATGAATGGTGTACAACCAAAGTAATGAAAAATTGTATTCTATATGTGTAATATGAATTGTAATGCATTCTGCTGTCATATATAACAAATTAGAATTAAAAAATTAAAAAATAAAAACAGCAACTCTGTTAGGGAAGTCCCTAATCTTAATGTCTTCATTATATAAGTGAGGAAACTGAGACTTTGGTCTTTAGTTTAAATGTCTTGCTTAGACACCTGAGTTAAAGTCACCCCAGGAAAAAATTTTCTTCTGAAATAAAGGACCTTCCCCTCCTGTTCTCAATCTTCTCTCCATACCCAAGGAAGAAGCCTGAAACCAAGCTGAGTAGTCTTAATGCAAATGTCCATTTGCATTGTGTGAAAAAATCAGACCTACAAACATCTGCAACTTTTATTGTATTTTCTGCCTCAAGCTTTACATCTTTTCTCTGGATGGAAAACAACTGAAGCACTTAACATCTAGCTCTGGCAAAGTAGCCATTCATAACTACAGGCTGATTTTTATCCACTAATTCTATAGCTCACCAGTACCTTGCTCCTGAGCTCTTAGATTGGCTGCAGCTGGTCCCAGTTATTGAGTTAATTTTGTCAAGTGGACCTTAGGGCATTTAGTTTACTTAATATTAGTTGACTTAGTGCTTTGTGACTATCTGCTTGTTTTACTTTGCCTTAAAAGTTGCATAAAAATATTTGTTTTGATCTTGGTGAAATAATCCTATTTTTCTTCTTTGTATAGCAAATGTTTTTCCTTTACCATGATCCATGGTTCAATTTTTTTATCTGTTTCTCACAGTTTCTGTTTTTTTTTTTTTTTAACACCACTAGAATTTCCTTTTCACCTCATTTTCTGCATTTTTTATTCCTACTCTACCATGCAACTTACCTTCTGATGACTGTACTCTCCTCTAAGATATAAGTGAAAATGTGCCTATCCTGCTCACCAGGCCCTGAACTGCTATACTTTGGGTTTTATCTAAACAAATAGCATTAATAGACTTGTTTATACATCTTTGTAAAAATCTTACTCTTTAGGAGATATGTTCAAATAATTCTGTCCAGTTGTACTTAAGGTGCTTACATTCCATGAAGTGGGTATACACAGAGGTTTATATAGAACTCCATTAAGTATTTATAATAGAGTGGGGCGATTTTTTATTTTAAAATTTTATATATATATATATATATATATATATATATATATATATATATAATGTTTGAACCTGTCTATGAGAAATCCTTTTTCAAATGTCATTATTTCCATTTTGAGATAATGGATAGCATTTGATAAAGAAATATGCTGAGACATGATCTATGTAAAATTTGCAATGCTTGTTAATAAACAGACTTAAGTTTTTATAAGTATTTGCATATTGCAGCCTATAAATGGAAGCCAAATATTTTTTAGTGCTATTGTAACATTTTTGTGATAGTAATCTAAGTTGTCAAAAATCTTTATAGCCAGAGAATGGTGATTATTGTGTGTAATAGTAATTTAAATGTTTACTCTGAAATATTAAAAAGGGGAATTTTATAAAATAAAAATGAACCTTAAAAATAGCATTCTCCCAAACATTTTAGCATTTTAAAACAAGACTGATTACTTAATCAAATTATAATATTTACTTTATTAACTGAATGTAAAAATACAGGATTGACAATTGCTAAAAATAGATATCAATGTCCAGTGTGGCATTGCACACCTGTAACCCCAGATACTTGGGAAATTATAGCAAGATCAATGCAGCCTGGGCAACTTAGAAAGACTGTCTCCAAATAAGAAATTTTTTAAAAGGCTGGGGATATAGCTCAGTGGTTGAGTGTTACAGCATTTAATCCTAAGTAAAAAAAAAAAAAAAAAAAAAGAAAGAAAATAAGAAAAAGTAAGTATCAGTATGATATATAGAATTTATCATATTTTATGGGAGGGTTTTTTTGTTTTTGTGGGGTGCTGGGGATTGAACCCACAGCCTTGTGCATGCCAGGGAAGCTATCTACCAACTGAGCTATTTCCGCAGCCAGGAGAATAATTTGTTTGGTTTGGGTTTTGGGTTTTGTTGTTGTTGTTTTGGTTTGGTTTGGTTTCGTTTTTTTTGTAAAATAGAAAAAAAAAGACAATTCATAAACGCCATCATCTATAAAAGCCATCCTAGAAATTCTTGCAGTAAAACCTTGAGGACTACATTGGTCTAAACATTACATTTGAAAACCTCTATGTATTACATATTGATGCAATGTATTACCATGTGGATACTTGATACATTTACCAGGGGAGATTTTTGTTATGCTAAAACTACAAAAATGCATTATGAAGTTCAAGATAATATTGTTTTAATGGTTAAATAAGACTTTAATCTTGGGCTGGAGTTGTGGCTTAGTGGTAGAACACTTGCCTGGCATATGTGAGGCCCTGGATTTGATCCTTAGCGCTGCAAATAAATAAATAAATAAATAAACAAACAAACAAACAAACAAACAAACAAATAAATAAATAAAATTCCATTTACAACTAAAAAATATTTTTTAAAAAGAGTTTAGTCTTTTTTAAACTTAGAATGTAAATGCTTTGGGTGTAGTCTTCTTCACATGACTAAAAGTGCACTATAAATATATTATTCTATAAAAATTATTACTCTGGTCCATTAAAATCTAAACAACTTTTTTTGTCCACCATGCATTTTATACTCAGGACTTAAAATGTATGCCTGTATATGACTGTCCATGTACATATATTCTATAAATATTCATATCATCACCTATATAAAGAAGAAACATTTCATCCTATATTATTCTTAAGATTTGTTTTGTTTTTAACTTTTATTCCAGGCATCTGATATAACTTGCTTGACTGAACACGTTTTTATGTATGTCAGTAATACCTGAACAAAACCCATTAGAAATTTATTATCAGATTTGAAATTCCATCATCTTCCACAAATGCTGGAAACTGATATGCTTTTTCTTCTTGATAATAGGCTTGCAAGGAAAACACATTAAAAGTAGGCCTCATTCATTGATGAGAATATATTTCATGTATTTACTTTAGATTTCAGATCATTTAAGGAATACTTTGGGCTTAGTGAATTCAGCAGGTATTTTACTTTCTTAATGCTATTCTCAACTTTGCAGCAAGGAGCCAGAATTCCACCATTTTCAATTTGGAACAGAAAAGCATTTGTCGCAGCTGTAGCTCTTAATTTGACATATAGTTTCAGGTCATTTTCATGTAAATAGAAAACAATAGAAACCTGCTTACAATTTCCATAAAGGGGATGTTTGCTTCAACTTTATCATTTTCCTCTAGCAATTTTATTTTCTCTCTCTGGGATTAAAAGAGCCGATAATTGTTCACAGTTATTATTTTTCATCTTTATAAAAACTTGTTAGTTCCAGTCTTTATTACTCAAAAGCGCCCAGTGCCTTCTATATTTGAGTCATACACACTACCCATTAATGTTTCTATCTCATCCTTTTCTTAATCTGGGCTAGGTTAGGCAGGTCAGCTTTTCTATTTCTTTCTATAATACATTTTCTCCCGGTTTTGCAACCTCTTTTTCTACCATAAAAAATTAAATAAATAAACTAGCATGTGAAAATTTGGAATTGTTTCATTGAATACAGCTGATACAAGTTTAAGTTTTGATTTATGTTTCTTTAAACATGCCCAAATGTATTATCAACAGTAGCTTCACAGTCATTATAAAATGTAATTCTGTGTTTTTTTCTAATAAATATTTTATTTCATTTTTTACTCTGTTTTTGCAGGGGAGCTAACTTTTTGCTTAAGCATAGATACATTTACTTCCATGTGTTTTACAGTAATTTTCAAGTGAGTCTTATTGGAAAGAAATTTCATTTTTGTGTATCACTTTTTAAATATATTGATTGATGCAGTTTAAATGGGAAGTTATTTTTGTCATTTCGATTGTTCCTCTTCTAGTGGTAAAAATAAGAAATCACCGTCTTTTAAATTTTTTTAATGAATCTTCTGAACATACCTGGAAATCATGTACTCCTTTGGCTTTGCCTGGACTGGTACAGTAGTTGCTATGGTCCTGGGGGCGGGGGCAGGGGTTGAAGTGCCCCATCTGGTTTTCAGCAGAGATTCATCCGTGCTTCTGTGTTTTCCTGCCCCAGTGATATGACAAGAACGGTGGAGATTTCTGGGGAAGGAGGCCCCTTGGGAATACATGTGGTGCCCTTCTTTTCATCTCTGAGTGGAAGGTAAGATGATTTCCTGGTTTCAGAAGCTCACACTAATTAATGGAAACCCTGAGGAGCCCACTTTTCCAGTCATTCTTCAGAAAAGGACCAAGTGTGAATTTCTGTTATTCACATAAACACCTCAATATATACTTTTGTTAGCCTCAGATGCATTAGAGGCAAAGCTAAATCATTTACTTCTAAGATGTAATGAAAAAGGAAAAAAAAAATGTCCCTTGCAATTTCTCTATTTGAATTAATTATAATGCTTTTTTAAAAAATATTCTTGTCAGCAGCACATAGTAAACAGAATCATTGACAAAGGTTTTAATATATTGTTAAACAAATATAGCTATTGAGGGGCTGGGGATGTGGATCAAGCGGTAGTGCGCTCGCCTGGCATGCGYGCGGCCCAGGTTCGATCCTCAGCACCACGTACAAACAAAGATGTTGTGTCCGCCAATAACTGAAAAGAAATAAATATTTAAAAAATATATATATATATAGCTATTGAAAATTTTTAATTTTAAAAGACACACTTCAACAAGTGAAGGTAATTTCTAATTTATATTTCCTCCTATTCCTCAGGCATATAGAGCTAAGAATAATAAACATTCAATATTCTAGTAGCTACATCAGATATCATACATATATAGGTACATATATATATATATATATATATATGTATATGATGATTTTGCTATAGAAGAAAAATGACATCCTGCTATTTATTTTTTTCTGAAATAACATTTAGAACATTAAAAATAATTTACTACATTCTTTCAGAATTTCAAATACATTATATTACTAAGCCCATACTGGTAAATGGCAGTTTAGAGCCTGTCAGCATTTCTTGGAAGCCACATCTATCTAACTGAATATAAAATTTGTTTTGTTGACAGAAATGAAAGTGTATGCCCTGGACCTAATATTATCACTACTATAACAAACTTATGGACCTAGTTTCCTGTATTATGTCACTTTCCAATAAGATGACCGCCTTTAGCACAAGATTAATTTGACAATGATTGCCAGAAACTTAAAGGAAAATAAGTTTCTTGGTTACATGATGTTTTAATGACTTTACTAAATGGATTTTCTTGAATGCACCATCAAAAGGTAGAATGATTTATTTTAGCTTGGGATGTCAGTCACAAGAAGGGTCCACTGCYTCTCACACAAAACCCAGATCTTCGGACTCATCCTTACTCCATTGCTCTTTCTAGAACTAAATTTTCCCAAAAGATTATGTAGTATTAATTTACTAGTCCTGAATGTTTACTCCATTCTGTCTGCCCTCTAGCAGGAAAAACAGACTCAGCCATGATATTTTGGTTGGCACCATATTCAGCAGGTAACCATCTGCTACCTGTAATTGCAAAGTCATCACCCTTTTTTCCTTTTTGCAAATAACATCTGATGCCAAGCTCTTGCTGGAATGAATGTTTCCTCAAAAGAAGTGAACCAGAAAGCTAGTGGCTCTTACTGTCTAGTTTCCTGTATGTGTTAATAAGCATGTTTATAAATGTTATGGGTTGTGGCACAGGACAAACTGAGGTTGTTTTTGATAGACAGGGTGGGTATTTACTCATTTCTCATGAAATGAGAAATTCTAATGGCTTCTGGCAGAAAGGTATTCGTTGAGTCTTGTGGAAAACACCAGAGTGCTTAAATTACCAGGCCCTTTAGTTTAATGAAGCTGGAATAGAACACAAGATCTTCCCAATTTCCAAAAATGAGAAAATATACAATGTGACAGTCACCATACTTCATTTCCAATAGTTTGAGAAACAAGCTGGCCTTACAGACAAAAGAAAAAAAAAATCAACTATCTCACTTCAAATAAGGAAAACATACTAGAATGTATCGATTTCCTCCCTTCTTCTTTCTGGTTCTGATTCCTAGCATAAGCCTGGTAGAATACTAGAAAGAGTATTGCAGTTGGATTCAGAAGAATTGGAATTAATCCCAGTGTTCATTTTATATGACCTTCAACAAAGTCCCCCAAACTTGTCTCTTGTGAATACCTACTTCACATCAAGGTTATGGGGATTAAATCACTTTAAAAAATGCAAAAGCTTCTTGTAAAACCCACAATGTATGAATGCATAAATTATCAATCAGTATTTTGATTGTTTTGGCTAAAATAAAAAAGCTTGATTCATTATAAGTTCATGGTCAACTGTTAAGTAAGTTAGAGAAATAGTTCTATTATTTTTTGCTATCCACTAGTATTATAGAAAGGAAATTTAATTAAAAAACATTAAAAATAATATGGAAGTGGAGACATGAGCCAATAAAATTTAAGAAGTAATGAGTGCAGGCTGAAATAGCACACTTAACTCAACCCATGTGTCTAGATGCCACTGCATGTAGACAGCATGTCAGACAAGTGTCTGACTTCATAATGCCATATGGTTTCACTGTGTGAGCACCGGGGCTTCGTTAAGGTCATAGTGGCAGACTTAGCTCTTAATTTCCTTCCATTTATTGGCTTGTGTCATTATTTTAAATTAGAATTTACATCTAATTCTTTATTAAGACTACTGTAATTGGCTTTGCCTCCAAAGTATTTTCTTTTTCATTTAGAAAAACTACTGTCACACCTGTTGTTGAATATGAAACCTAAGTTTGAACTGTTTTGATACCTTAGCACAGGGATGTTTATTGCTGCTTGTCTTGAGGGCCATTTGCCTTCTCAATAGAAAAACAAACACAAAGCAGCACTAAATCCTTGCAAAAAAAGAGCAATTTAACTTTATTTGTTTAAAAAAATGAATCTGTGCTATTTTTTTTTAGAGTTAAAAACATGAAATCTATTTTTTTTTTCAAAAAAGATGACACAATAAGCTCCATTTTACAGTAAAGGTACCTAAAGATGACTGAGGAGGAGGAGTGTTGGGGAAGAGGGGAGAAGAGAAGACATTCAGACAGAACGCGAAGCTGGCAGGGTGACGAGGCCTTGGGATACAGTGGAAGGGCAGGAGAGGGGCAGGGAGAAAACGGTGGTGCCTAAATGGTTATTTGATGAGCAAGAAGCAATTGTTACTTTTTTAATTCTGTGGGGCTGTGGATTTCAGCATCCTTGATCACTGCTCATTAATGCAAATTAACTGGTTAGTCTCAGCCTATAATTCCTCGACAGCGTTAATCTTTAAATCCTGTGAGTTTTGATCCCAAATGAGACAGCTACCACAGCCCACCAGTCTGGAGCGTGGAGGGTAATGAGACATGATTCTCTGAGCCTTCTCATAGTGGTCTGGATGACATCATACTGGAGGGGATCTACCCCTTCCATGGAATAGAAAGGGCAGGAGTATTTTGTTGCCAGGGACCAAACTAATAAAAATCAGTCCGCTTTACGTTTTACCGAAATTCCCTCTGACACATGGGTTTTACAGTGGGGCTTATTCTGTCAATAAATTTTTCATGGAAAGTTAGGTTATTTAGATCAGTGAGGTTCACATAGCACACTCCAGCTGTAATATGCTAGCTAAATTGCAACCCAGTGGCCTGAAAGAATTAATTCATCTCCCAAAATGTGAGATTAAATCCTAGGGAGTAACATTACATGACTGATGATGTACTGAATTAAATTAAAGGAAGACTTGAATGCTTGTTAAAAAAAAAAATCTCACTTACATAAACTAGTTTATAACCACATGTGAGCCTCCTAATGGATCATGTTATTGTGAATCCACCATAACAAAAAATCCAAAATGTGAACTAGAAGGTTTGTTTAATTTAGGGGAAAAAACCAATTATGATCTGTTTCTTCATTTTTACACGTCCAATAGTTCAATTTTTAATATTATGATGGTAACACAGAATATGTTTAATTTACAAACCTGCTGGAACTAGGAAATGAAGCACACACCCCGGCCCCATACTGGTCCCTGTGACCCTGAGTCTGCCTTGCGGTAGGTGGTGTGACTATTTGCTGTTCTCTCCTGCAGCAGCATACTGTATTCATTTAACATTTTTGAAGACTTAAATATCACTGCATGTGCCTTGCCTTTTGACGTCTTGAGATGATATGAGCTCATTAAATGAATGGAGGCCTGGAGGCAGAGGCTCAGCTCTGTGGCTACTCTAAGCAGGAGGATTGCTTTCTCCTGGACTTTCATTATAGGCTGCCCTTTTTCCATGGCTGACCCTATTATTCACACATAAAATGTGCTCATATTTTATTTAGATTTGAAATTTAATGCAAAGGGACTATGTAATAGCACACAGGGTCCTATACAAAAGAGAGTGACTGAGTGGGAAAGCGGGAACAAGGCACATGGAAATGGCAGTTTTTCCACAGCCAGGAAAATCCTCTTAGAGGATAGATCCGTCTTTCTGACTGTAGGATACAACTAAGACCCTCTATACCACCAAGGAAGGAATATCTCCCAAATGATTAATAGCAAAAATAGATACAAGTTCAATTTCTCGTTATTGGTTTTAGTTTGGGTTTTATAAATGTAACCAAGTACAGTCGGCCCTCTTTATCTATAGGTTCCTCATCCACAGCAGATTGCCTGTGGATCAAAAATATTTGGAGAAATTAAAGTACATCTGTACTAAACGGGTACAGACTTTTCTTCTTGCCATTATTGCCTACACAGTACAGTACAACAGTTAATTATATAAATTATAAGTCATCTAGAATGATTTAATTACAGGAGAATGCAAATACTTTGCCATTGAACATTCACAGATTTTGGCGCCCAAGGATGATGATCCTGAAATCAAACCCCCATGAATAGCAAGGGACAATTACATATAAAATGTAATTCTTATTGCTATAGTTTTCTTCTTCCTTTCCTTCTTTTCTATCCATTCACCTTCTGACTCTTAGTCAGAAACACAAAGTCCCAGGAGTTCTAGGTATCCTCTCTAAATCTCGCCTCTTCCCTTTTGAAATTTCAGACTACTCTCCCCAAAGCCCAGCGTTCATCAGCAAACAGTGGGTGGTGGGTGTTCCATACCAACTCCATCAGATTAGGTCTATTCAAAGCCCCTCTAGGTCACACTGGCCTCCTATCCAGTGTTAACTCTCAAACCCTATGTTGCCTCTGAGTTTATCAATATCTCCACTTCTATTGGACTCTAAGATATTCACCAATTCACCTGGCCCTGCTCTACAACCTTATCTCATACTCTATCTTGAGAACAGAGAAAACACCCAATGCCTATTTGGTTCACTATAGTAACCAATGGGCTGATCTTCCTTCAGAGTAATAGGATCTAAGCTTAAATATTTGTTTACTTCTTAAAATGCAAATTAGTGGTAGACGCAGTAAAATTGCAAAGAGCCACCATGAATTCCTAATTCCCTCCCATTACATAGCATCATGCTGCCAATCTCAGCCTTAAATTGGGCTTACTCCTTATGGTCAATTGTGAAGTGCTTCCCCAAACCACAAGTCTTTGCTGTCCTCAACTCCACTGAGCCATATTGGCCTTTCTAAGTTTGCCACAAGCATGAGAAATGGGGTCCTAGATTAATGTTCTCTGAATTAATGTTTATGTATATTTGCCTTGAAGGATCTTTTCTTTTACTGAGTTTATGTGTGTACGTGGTTTTGGATGAAGGATTTAAATAACAATTGCCTGAATAGAAAGCATAATTTATTTCATAAATAGAAATCAATACTAATTTCTGAATAGTTGCAAGTGGAGAAATAATGAGCATATTGTTATTCAGTAATTCTATTTCAACCTAAATTTTGCATTTAGGATCCTAGGACTCTTCATCCGAGGCATTGAAGAAAACAGCAGGTGCAAACGGGAGGGACTCTTTCACGAAAATGAATGCATTGTAAAAATCAACAATGTGGATCTGGTAGACAAAACTTTTGCTCAGTAAGCATTTTTCCATTGTTTTATTTGCTTTATCATCCCCCTAGAATGGTTATAATCATTACTGAACTCATTATGATCAAAATCAGAGGTAGAATTTCTGGTCATTTCCCTTTAAATGACCTCCAGACATGCATTTTGGAATGCGTTTTATGTCTTAGCACACTCAAAGGTGGCCCACATGGGTCCCAGACATCTCCAGGAACATTAAGCCACAGAATGGAGGAAGTTTTCCTGCTTGGTTGTCTTGCTGGGGCATCGATGGAGGGGGTTTGTTTTTCTTGGGATGTGGGTCAGTTAGATTGATATTTAATAGCTCTTTTCACAGACTGTTAGTTCAGCTTATTAATTAACTGGCTTGATGTAAGCCGTCTGCCTTAAACCAAAGAATCTGTGAGAAATGTCTATGAGGATTCAGTGAATAATATAAGCAAAAAACAAAAATTAAAATGCTCTCTCTCAAGAAGTCATCTCTCCAAATGTGAAAATTTTATGGGAGTAATTTCCTGTCCACTAGAATAAGAATATATAGCACCCTGATACTACACATATGTTTTTAAATATATGTTGGCACTGTGCTGAGATTTCATGAGGAAATCAGTACTGATACTCCATAGTAATAGTAAGCAACCTCTCTTGTTTCTGACCCAACTGTTCATAATACATCTTTTCTCTGGGCATTAGTTATCAACAGTGTGTGTGTGTGTGTGTGTGTGAGAGAGAGAGAGAGAGAGAGAGAGGAAGAGAGAGAGATGGGGGGTACTTGGGGGAATTAGTCATCAACTGCTTAAATGGTGAAAGAAATGAAGCCTTAAAACACTCCATTTTGTTCAACAAAATGATAGATAATATTGTAATAATTATTAATAATGGTCTTGTTTGATATGCCACAATGCATTTTCAAGGACTTGATAGGTATGCAAGACAGACATGATCATCCCTGTTTTATAGAAATGGAAAACAAAGGTMAAAAAAAATCAGTCTGGAGTTATTATGAAGGAGAAATTGATTTGCAATCAAGCAAAAAATAACCTATTAATTATCTGATCAAAAATACCAAATGATTTTTTTCACTTAAAATCAAAGTTTACCTTTTTATATGTTCTTCAGTAATTAATGCTGGTTAGACTTTCAGATTTAGAAACACTTTACAAAAATGTGGGTCTTTGGATAAGTTACTTAGTCTCTCTGAGCCTCAATTTGAGTTTGCAAAATGAGAATTAATTATATATACCTTGGTGGTTGTAAAGAAGAGTCAATGAGAAAATTATGCATGGTCATCCTGCACGTGTAGCCCAGTGGGCAGGTAGTAGTGGTAAACTCTGATGTTTAGGTAGCACAGTCATACTGGTAGTAATATGGACAGTGTCTTGTGCCTGAGCTCCTGTGCGGAGCCTGGTTGCCTCTGTGCTGGAGTACTGTGGAAGGTAGCTGCTAGCCACTGTATCATGACACATTTACTGACTTTTTCAAGGGCACAAGATGTCTTCCGCCAGGCAATGAAATCCCCAGATGTGCTCCTTCACGTGCTTCCACCTCAAAACCGTGAGCAGTATGAAAAATCAGTCATTGGACCTCTTAACATTTTTAGTAGCAATGATGGAGTTTTGAGAACAAAAGCACCTCCTCCTGTCCATGGGAAATCTGGAGTAAAGACAGTAAATCTCACAGGAACAAATAGTCCTGAAGCAGATGCATCACCTTCTCTGCAACAAAACAAGAGTCCCCGAGTACCAAGACTAGGAAGAAAATCTTCATCTCCCTCACTCTCCCCTCTCATGGGGTTTGGCAGCAAGAAAAATGCAAAGAAAATTAAGATTGACCTAAAGAAAGGTAATTATTAAATTATGCTTAATAGCATTCTATTATTGTAACATGTAAAATTGGTTAAGAGAAATGCATTAAGCCTAATTTAGTTAATTCTCCCTTTATTTAATTGTATCAAAGAATAGATTTAAGTGTATACTTAGGTAACTTAAATTTCTTGAAATTGTAATACTTTCTTCTCTTCTACAGAGTATAGATTATTTGAAACAAGGAAACAATAAAGACATGTTGGAGAGTGGGAAAGAATCGTTGCAAACTTGATTGAGGCCAAGCAATATTGTATTCTAACTTAACACTAAATAGGAACTAAAATCCAGTTGTCCCAGTTTCAAGCACAATTAGTAATGTTTTAAAGCATCCTTTAGGACAAGTCCAACAAAGATATGGTCTCTGGTTCCTTAGAACAATTTTATATAAGCAAAAAGTTGACTCTTCAGAAAGCAAATATATGATTATTAATTTCACTGATTCAGCATTACAAACACTGTTTTAAAACATACCTAATTTTGAGCACATGTATAATCTTTCTTCATTCTTTTAAATTTTTCTATCTATTACAAGCACAAATCAGTGAGACTAGATCATGTATACCCATGTGTACTTATGAAATACTATATACACATATCCACACATAAGGTGTTCATGGGCTATTATGTTTCTTGTTCATTTTGAAACTTTTGTCTAATATTTCCTTTCCCCATTACAACTTTCTAAAATCCTTTGTTTTTCAAGACAATTCAAAAGGAACCAAGATCTTATAGATTCTTTTCTGAATTAATAGAGAATTTAGTGGTTACAAGGTAATTTTAGAATACCTACAAGTGTATTTCAAAATATGTATCTTTAGTTGTTCTTAAAAGAGTCTCTGATAAAACTTTTATTCACTTATAAGAATCCTATACTGGAAATAAAATGTATTGAATAAGAAGCATAGATCCTTAATTGCTCAGCAATTAAGCTTTTTTATTTAAATGCATCTGTTGTAATCTATGTACAAATAATCCAGCTATGCGTAATATGTGAAGTTAGGTTCTTTGAGGACATAAATATGAGTCATAGAATCACTTTAAAAATCTATAAGAGGGCTGGGGATGTGGCTGAAGCAGTAACACGTTTGCCTGGCATGCGTGAGGCGCTGGGTTCGATCCTTAGCACCACATAAAAAAAAAAAAAAAAAAAAAATTAAAAAAAAAAAGATGTGTCCACCGAAAACTGAAAAAAATAAATATTAAAAAAAAATCTATAAGAAAGACTTGAATGTAAAAATAAAGAATATGACATCACAGGTATACTTTGGGAAGATTAATCTAGAATCAAATAGATATACTAATGAAAAAAACAGACAATAAAGGATCAGTACAGGATGTGTTGCCTGTGTCTAAATGCAGAAATATAATACATATTCCTTAATAGATGAAAGACTCTAGGAAGGAAGGAAGAGAAATTACAATCGTTGCTGATGTTCTCAGGGCAACTTGCATAATGGAGATGTCATTGATAGAAACTAGAATTTTAAGTAGGTGAGGCTATTGGAAAAGATCAGAATCTGAATTAGAGAAGGAAGTACACAGTGAAGTTTGAAATGCATATAGTGATATCTAGAAAACGGATATCAAAAGGAGAGATTAGGGCCAAGGGGATCTTAGTCTTTCCTATAGGGAGATAATATAGGATCCAGTAGCTGGCCAAAGCCATGGGACAAATTCATCCTAAATAGAGCCTTGGGAAACATTTGTGTTCATGTGGGAAGACAAGGGTATGTACTAGTGACAGATGTTATATGATCACAGAGGTAGGATAATAATCAGAAAATAAAAACATTAAAACCAAGGGGAATTAATTTCAGAAAACAATTGGTGGGAAGTGTCAAGGCTAAATTAAATTGATAATAGGAAGAATAATTGGGTATTGTCATTGGTCGATGTGTTGGTTAGCTTTTTATTACTATAATAAAATACCTGAGATAACAAAGTTAAAAAGAGGAAAGGTTTATTTAGGCTTACAGTTCTGAAGGTTTCAGTCCATGGTTGATTGTTCAGGTGCTTTTGAGTCTGTGACAGCAGTATATTATGATGGGACTATGTCACGGAGCAAGCTTCTTACTTCATGGTGGCCAGGAAGCAAAGAGAGAGAAAGAGAAGGGTCCCAGTACCCACTGCTAGAGCAAACCACTAATGATTTAACTTCTTTCCACTGTGTCTAACCTCCTCCCAACAGTGGCATAACCTAGGGACCAAGCCTCTTACAAGCAGGCCTGTGGAGGACATTTATCCTATCCCTAGTGGTGGAACATTGGTGATGGAAGCTTGGAGAAGCAATGCAATTGAAGTAACAGTTCTTTATGGCAGAGACAGCTGAGCATCCCTCAGAGAGTGAAAAATACACTGGAAGGGAGAAATTAGAGATGTGAGAGAATAAGGAGGTGCATCAGGTTTCTTGCTGACAGGACCTGAGACGTTTGGCTTATACAGGTTCAGGACACAAACAGACGGGTGAGCCACAGATGGGCCAGCTGACTGAGAAACTGACCAAATTCAGGTCAAATCACCCTTTCCTTCCCAGGAAATCATGCAGTCAGGTTATGGTTTACTGAGGAACCCATCTCAGGCATATGGACAACATGTGCATTTCTTCCCAAACCTGAATAAACAAAAGTGTAACACATATATATAGGGCACCATATTCACTTTGATACCATCATGGCCTGTCAGAAACCATAATTTTATTTGAAACCAGAGGAACTGAAGCATATTTTAAACCTCCTGGAATGTAAATATTTTACTTATTCTACATTAGTCTAAATTAGGCAGATTTTTACTGTAAGATTGAATATAATATTACGTATGCTGAAAGTGACTGTTCACTTTTCTGGTCTTCTACGCTAGGCCCTGAAGGACTTGGTTTCACTGTGGTTACCAGAGATTCTTCCATTCATGGTCCTGGTCCCATCTTTGTAAAAAACATTTTGCCAAAGGGAGCAGCAATAAAAGATGGCCGGCTACAGTCAGGAGACAGAATTTTGGAGGTAAGGATTTAAATTAATATCTTTGATAAAATATTAGTAAATAAATAAATACATGAACATATATAGCTGTCGCTCACAGTTTCCCTGGCAGATTGGTTTCAGGACCACTCTGCAAGATTAATACATTCTGCAGATGCTCAGGTCCCTTATGTAAAATGGTTCATAATCTGGACACCACCCTCCTGTTATACTTTAAATCATTTCTAGATAACTTATAATACCTAATACCATATAAAAACTGTGAAAATGACAATTATACCATATTTTTAAGGAATAATGGCATTTAAAAATCTGTACATGTTCAATGCATATACAAGGAATTTTTAAAGTTTTTTTTTAATTTGTTCTCTTTATACATGACGGTAGAATATATTTTGACATATTATACATACATGGACTATAACTTCCCATTCTCATATCAGAGATTTTTAAAAATATTTTTTTAAATCTGAGATTCATTGAATCCACAGATTCTAATGAAATCCATGGATATGGAAGGCTAACTGTACACTAGCATTTCATTTTGAATATAAAATATATTAAAATTTATTACTTATAGACAAGATAAGGACTCTAATTATGAAACTAGTTAATGAGCAGCCTAACTTAATGTTAAGTCCCCAGTGAGATCAGTGATATGGGGTCAAAGAATAACGAAGACTTTTCCATATCTTCTCTTTCTTACTTCTTAGGGTTCTTGAAGAATTTGCATTAACTCCAACAGTTCATCATATATTCAGTGAGGTCAAAGAATTTCAGTCACACCCAAGCCTTTGCAATAGTGTTTTTTTTTTTTTTAACTTTTAAGGGGTAGGGTGTTTCTCAGGTTGAACTATGCATTGTCCAAATTTTCATAACCTGGTATACACAGCTAGTAATAGAAACAGCTAAATGGGTTTTAACATAGATAATTATTTGGAATATCTGAAAGTCTTTTTTTCATTCATTTTTTAATAGCATCATATTCTTGTTAATCCTATGTTGCTGATGTATTTACCTCTTAAGAAATCATCTTTAGTAAAACTGGATGGTTTATTTTCACTCTTTTAGGGCATGAAATCAAGACTAGCTTTAGATCTAGATGTAGTTCTAGATCATGAGGAAGATGCACCAAATGACTAACATAGCTCCAAATTAGAATTTCCAATAACTTATGACAATCTTCTGACTATGATTTTCTGGACATAAGAGCATTTTAGAATTATATAAGAAATACTCATATTGCCAGAGGAATTGGCCATGTAATAATAGTTCATTTCTTCTTGTTCTATTGGGTAGAAAATGGTTCCAAGTAAGCATTTGAAATCTACTTTCCACCTAATTGACAAGTCAATCTCTGGTACCTGTCAATTTGATTTTCCCCTCCGAAGAATGTGATGGCTTAGAAAAAATTGCTGTTACTAATGACTGACTGAGTTTGTTCAGCATCATCATAATGATGGTCAGAAAATGTAATTGTGACTATTCATATGATTTTATTCATTAGGTAAATGGCAGAGATGTCACTGGACGAACTCAGGAAGAGCTTGTGGCTATGCTAAGGAGCACCAAGCAGGGAGAGACAGCCTCTCTGGTCATCGCTCGCCAAGAAGGAAATTTTCTGCCCCGAGAACTGGTAATGTTCAGAGCTCAGTCTCACTGAATTTTCAATGAAGATCTTAACACACTCGTTGAATTCACGGTAGTTCACTACCTAGTTCTAAGTTACAGGACTCATTTATACCAAAGTTGAATTTGAGTATTTATTCCTTTGGAGTATCACATTTTTTTAAGGTATTGTTGCAAGGAATTGGGTATACGTAAACAATGCTTTGGGTATACAGATTCAAACACGTTTAATGATAACTATTCAACAAAATCAAACTAATTAAATAAAATATATATGGAATATATGCTGTGGGCTAAGACCTACATAAAACAAAATAGTTCCTTGCCCCTCTTTCATGGAGTAAAAAAAAAAAAAATAAAATAAAATAACCAGAATTAGAAGTCTAAAAAAAAAAAAAAAAAAACCAGAATTAGAAGCCAGTCTTCAAAATGGGAATGAAAATTAAGAAGGAGAACCACAGCATGTTAAGATTAACACTACTGGTCTCAAGGACTGGGAAAGGCATCTTGAGGAAGAAAATTTTAAGTCTTCATAAAAATGTATACCCTTTGACCTAGAAACTACACTTTTAGTAATCTGTCCTGAATTGATGATCAAAGATATGGAAAAAATTCATGTACATTGATTTTTTTTCCCCAAAGTCCTATACAAAACAGTGATATATTTGGTGCTATATAGCCGTAAGGTATTGGTTAAATAATAACTAGATATTTCTCCAATGAAATATAATAAACAGGCTCAGTGAGGAGTTGTTAATGGCATGAGAAGATATGGTATAATGTTAAGTAAAAAATAAAATTGTATACAATTATACATGCAGAATGATCAGATTACATTAAAAAYTATAACAATATAATTGGGAAGAGATGTACCCAAAATGCTGAGGCTATGAGAAATTTTAATTTTCTTGTATATGTATTACAATGAATTCATATTGTTTATTTACTGAAATACCATTTTTTAAAAGAAGGCTATAGAAAATTCAAAAGGGAGTTTGTGGCTAACAACAAAGGAAAGCAGATGTGATAAAGGGACTTTAAATTACTCCTTGTTTTTTTAAATTTGATTTTCTTTGAATCTGTGTAAGAGATGACATAGGCACATATAGGTAACATAGTCAGTCCCTAGAGTTTGTTCATCAGAACAGTGAGGGTTCCTTGGGAGAGTTAATGAGGCTATTTAACTTAAAAAAGAGAAAGTTTAGAAGACATGATAATTTTCACCGAATATCTAACAAACAGTGTATCTGGTTGGTGCAAAGTTAGAGACTTGGGGCATGCAAAAATAATGAAGACTCTTTTCCTACTCTCTTTGAACTTGTCCCAAAGCAAATGGCTGGAAGGAGATAATGTTGTAAGAACTTTCCAACTATCAGACTGTATAAGAACAAAAAGTGTTACTTAGAATATTCAAACATGGCCTGCCTTACCATCTGTCAAGAGTGCTCTATAATAAACATTCTCCCATCAGGAAAGTTAAATAAGTCTAAACAACCTCTAAGATATCAATCTGTACTTGGATTCCGCTGCTCCTTCCCTGTCTTTCCCATGCTCTTGTTCATCGTCCCCCTTGCCCCACTGTATGTGCTGGGAAGAACTGTAGTCAAAYAGAAAGCAAGAAGAGTGAGTGGTGTAAGTCATAAAGACAAACTGTTCACCTCCTTTTCTCTTCTTTTTTTGGGGAACTAGGGATTGAACTCAGGGGCACTTGACCACTGAACCACATGACCAGCCCTATTTTGTATTTTATTTAGAGACAGGGACTCACCGAGTTGCTTAGCACCTCACTTTTGCTGAGGCTGGCTTTGAACTCACAATCCCCCTGCCTCAGCCTCCTGAGCTGCTGGGATTACAGGTGTGCACCAGGGAACCCAGCTCCTTTCCTCTTCTTGTTTTCTCTGCACCCAACCATTTTGGAAGGCAGAATCTCATCTTGCTCAAGCTCCTTTCTCCTCCCAAGAAATGCTGCAGAAGCTTAAGTCCTCGGTTTTTTCCCTCTGAATTACAGATGGTTTTTCTTTCAACTTTGTTTATTCAAAGACCTTGGGCCTTTTCTACCAGGGTGAAAGTGAAAAGAAATGATAAGAAAGGGGGCAGCGTGTACATAGAGTAGGAAGTCCTTTCACTTCTTATTCAGACCTTTATTTGCTAAAGATAAAAACTCAGAGAAAACCTCCGTGGGATTGTGTCTTTATTTCAGAGATAGGAGAGAAAGGAAAGAAGTTTTGAGTGTTCATTCTGTTGAACTATGTTTCTGAAAGGAACAAAGCCCTTCATAGAAAGAGAAACATTTCAGCCAGCCCTTATGCAGGCAAGAGAACCTAACGACAGAGTTCTAATGCAAACCCTCAGGAGCCCCCACCCCAGGTCCACATCTGGTGGTTCTGACAGTTCTCTTGTATGATCTCTAGAATTCCTGACTCCATCGCTAATTTCTTCTTCTCACTCCCCCAGGTAAAGGGGGAGGGATGCTGATCGATCTTATTCTAGGTTGTTATTCATTAAATGCATTTTCTATTAAAGACAAGTATATCTGGAAGTTAGCCAATGGAATAATAGAATTTTTACACTAAAGGGAGTTGTAAAAATCAGTAAGTCCAACTAATTTTGCAGTGAGTAAGCAAAGGAGTAGAGTAGTTGAAAAACCCACCCAGTCTCCCACATTGAGCTGGGACTACAGGCCTAGGTCTCCTAACATTTAACATTGTCACTGGACTTCAACTCCTAGACCTCAACTTCTGTATCTACCATTTAGCTGTGTGATTGAGAGCAGGGCACAAAATCATTCTGAGGCTCAGCTTCCTAATCTATATAAGGAATATAAATTTGTTGTAAGGATTAAAAGAACAAATACATGTAAAGCTCTTATCATCTGTGGCTAATTATAAGTTTTTAATACCACTAGCTATAATTATTTTTTCTAGAACGTTACCACTGTCACTGTAATGTGAACATAATACTATCCTTTAGATATATTATGAAGTGAATAGATTTATACAGGCTTCCCTAGGAATAATTACTATTTTTTGAACACTTGTTTTMTTTATTTAATTTTTAAAAAATCTATTCTGGGATCCAAAATACTGAATGTCAAACAAATTCTTTATAACCTACCACTTTTACCTTTTGTAAGTGAGGCAGCCTGCGTATATTATTTCACTTTTCTTTAATAAAATTTCATGAAATTTGATTTCTATCCCATAAATGACCTCATAGGCTGAGCCCACCAGGGAGTCATTAAATTAATTGTGCAAGTATGATATTATGAACACAAATAACTTATTTGTACTCCTTGTTTTTAGTTTCAAAAAAATGAAAAGCATGTGATTAGTATTCATTCTCTTAGAACTTTCTGGACTATATCTACACTCAAAAATATTTGACTGTCCACTGTAGAAATTTGAGGAATACTTTCTGTCATCACAGAAAAAAAAAAAAAAAGGGAGGGTTTGCCTTTGAGGCTTATAAGTACCTGACTCATGTGGACCCAAAGTCTTTGTGTTGGATAAATAAAGAATAGTACTTTTTTTTTTTTCAGCCCAAATGCCTGATGTGAATGCCAAGAAGCAAGAACTATACTGAAAGTTTAAAGAGAGGTCATGTTTGCATGGACAGGACTCTTTCAGTGGGAATTACTTCTAGGTGTGGCATGCACTGGACTCTGAAAGAACAAAATGAGGAACGAAATGTTATGTGATGCATCTCTTTGTTTTCCTTTTGAAAAAGGGAAGATGGTATCACTTTGGTCTCTTCTCTCTTATCATGATTGATGCACATACTTGACTTTCCATTGAAAATGTGGCAGGATGAAGGAAGGACAGCATTTCCTGCTTTTGTCTCATTCTATCTCCTTTGAGGAAAACAAACTGTGTTTATTGTTTTCCTGTTCAGAGAAACTGTCCTTTCCCTTTTTGTTTTAACCTTGCTATTTCATGAGCTCTATACCATCTGAACAGCATTACCCTGCCTGTTTTCCAGCAACTAAATCTTCCTCACTTCCTTGCTATCATTAGCTTCTTGTAAAGTCTCAATGCTTAACAGCTACTGGAGCATGTGGTCAGCAGTCATACAGGAAGTCTCAAAATAGTATTGTCTCTCGGATGTGACCCTCTGTCATTCCAAAGGCTTTAGCGTCCATTTCCTGGTCAGTCTCCTGACCTGCCACCTAGGAGAACTGTGCTGAACTTATATTTGCAGGTCCCTGTCCTTCCTCCTGAGCAATCTGTCAGCAGTATAAGTTTAGCAGCACATTTAGCTAACCACCTTTTCATCTGTATCAGGCTGGGCTGGAGAATCAAATGAGAGCAATTTATATAARAACATCAATATGATTTAGCTGTTTTTAGTATGTTTCTTTACCAAAAGAACTGTGCTTCAAAGGTAGTTTTTCTAGAATCCCAGGCTAGAAGATCCTTTGAAGTCCTCACCCCCTTGACAGGTTGAGACTTTATTGAAGAGGTGTTCATATAAGGGATGATTTTGCGGAAGGTACTTTGAGATTAGTGTTGGTAACAGAATCAGAAGGTGAAACCACTGTGTTTGGTCTCCACTTGAAATGAACTTGATGTTACTTCTCAGTCGTGTATTGAGTCTGTTCTGTGAGAGATGTGGCCTACCAGTCCTTTTCTATCCCTGATGCCTGAAATTCTTTTCATCTTATACAGAGTCATCTAAGGCCATTTTTCCATTTAGAAATTATCCTGAACAACTAAAAAGGTTTTCTGTTAATTTCATGCCTTCATTCTTTTTGAGAGAGAGAGAGAAAGAGAAGAGAGTTATTTGCCATGCATCCTCATGTGCATGCATGTGTCTGTCTTCTTTCATTTATGTTGGGAAGGAAAATATTCTGTCATTTCTTTGTTAACCTCTTTAATGTTTCATTTTCTGACCTGCTGCCTTATCTTTAAATTATCCTGAAAATCACAGCAACCCCTGGTGGGTAAAACGAGCTGAGAAAATTTCAAATGTATTTATAATTTCTACCTGCCAAGTTTGCCTGCTATTAAA